AATGACTCTACTTCTGTGAGGCATTTTCTAAAGCAGGGTAGTATCGTACTTTGTTCTTTAAAATTATAGTTTTGTAAAAATACAGATACAGGAAACACAACTAGCTATGCAGATGCTGCTGAATCAATATTTTAGGTGATGACTTATGACACTAGAATGATTATGCTCCTGGAAAAGTGTTAAGTAGTTCAGAAGAACCAAAATTTTACGCTTAGCAAGACCCATAGGTATGATCAAGGGGCTTTAAACTGAAATCAAAGGATAAAAAAATTCCTCAATTAAAACTGTAAGACTATGAACAATAATAACACCACAGGGGAGAAAAGCAGAGTAAAAGAACTATCAGGTACCGATTAAAAGAAGAGATATAAACAAATAGAAAAAAAAATCCAATAGCTTAAAAAAAAGTGTGTGTGTGTCTATCTGTATATAGCAAACCTGAAATTTCAACATAAGTAAATCTCAGGGATTAACACTTAGGAATCCATGAATGGGAACTGGCATTTGAAAGGAGTATCTTACAATGTTTTATAATGGAAGGCGGAAGATACCTTTAAACCAATACATACACATGTATATGGAAATTCTTGAACAAGGGATAAAGGAATCCCTAAATGAGGTTAAAAGAAGGCAATAGTTGTACTAACAGAAGGAACATACTATTTGGCCACCTGAACAGATGGAGAATTTAGGTCAAGTTTTCCTAAAACATGTTGCAAACAAGCACAAGGATAAGATACCACAATGATGGGTGGAGACATTAGCTCTTTACCTGTATTGGCAGCTTAATTTTGTTCAAATCAGAGCATCTGATAAATTCCTAAGTTACCCTGTTGAAAATTTCATCCTCCAACAAATAGAGGAAGCAATGAGGGGAACTGATTTAACGATTTCATACTTAAATTAAAAAAAAAAGCCAGAACTGAATGATGATGCAGAAGTGATAGGAAGTCTAGTAGTGACTATGCCAATGAAAGACAATCCTGGGCATTGTCAAACATGTTGCTACAGCTCTGGTTGGATATTTTGACAGTCACTCATGATATTCTTAGGAAACAGGACAGACAGTGGATTTATAGATGGCTTAATAACTATCATCGAAAGAATAAAGATTGGCAGGTTCACATCAACCCTGAGGGAGACCTCTACTTGGTCTATTCTTGGTTTGGTTCTCCAAAATATTTTAAATCGGTAACTTGAAGAAACAGGAGCACATTTGTACATTTCTGGAGGACACAAAGTTGAGAAAGAGAGTTATAATATGCAGGATAAAATAGTACATTCAACAAATATTGGGACTTCCCTGGCAGTCCAGTGCAGTGGGCACCGGTTTGATCCCTGGTCAGGGAAGTAAGATCCCTGCATGCCGTACAGCTCGGCCAAAAAACCCTCAAACAACCAAAAAACAAACAAACAAACAAAAAACCACCAATAAAAAAACAAATATTGATTGAGCACCTTTTTAGGTAAGGTGTTAAAGTGAATACAAAGATCGATCAAGATATAGTTCTTCCACTCATTTCCTTTTCAACACAAGTAGATAAAAATATTTTAAAATTATCAAAGAACAAGATATGAAGGGAGAAAAAATACAGATAAAGTGGTTGGACAGACAGATGAAGGGAGATATCACTTCTGGCTTTATGTGTTGGTGGGTTCAGAATCTGGGATAATTTAGTGAAAGTGTTCATAGGAACATGTCAGATGAGTAGAATTTGGACATGTAGCGGTCAAGAGAAGGGGGATCTAGATTCAGAGGTGGGAAAGCATGGAGCTTATATTGAGAAAGTTTTGTGGTTTTGTTTGAAGAATGAAATGTAGGACAGGGAGCAGTAGGAAACAAAAGTTGGGTAATAAGATTCTGGAATACAGGTTGGCACGATGAACTAAAAACAATAAAATTAAATTTAACTTGGATGAACTTATAATTTCAAAGCAAAGATGTTGGTCCCTGCTTTCTTCTTGAAAATTATTACCCCCAAACAATAAGGCAAAAAGAAATAACACGAACTCCAATTTTAATGACTAAGAGGCATACACAAACCACAATACATGGAATTAAAAGCAGATAAAAGAATGATGACTTAGCATAGCAAAGGAAGGCCAAGTCCATGTGCCTGAAGAGAAGGATACCACAAAGAAGCAGCACTTCCAGAACACTGGAAATGTTCAGGAATTAGAAACACCCATACCAAAGGCAGAAGAGAGGCAAAGAACTAAAATCAAGGAAACTGGGCTAAAAACAAAAAAGTCTGAGGCAGAAAAAATTAAACCCCTGCTCATGGTGACACCAAGCAAAAAGGATGGGCTAAAGCTAAGTGCCAGATACTGCTATAGAATTAGATAGTTTAAAATATAAGAAATAAAACTAACAACTTTTTAAATGTTTTGAGATAAAAATTATTTGGTGTTATAAAACAGTGTAAAAGGGCTTTCCTGGTGATGCAGTGGTTAAGAATCTGCTTGCCAATGCAGGGGACATGGGTTCGAGCCCTGGTCTGGGAAGATCTCACATGCCACGGAGCAACTAAGTCCGTGCACCACAACTACTGAGCCTGCACTCTAGAGCCCGCGAGCCACAACTATTGAGCTCACGTGCCACAACTACCGAAGCCCACATGCCTAGAGCCTGTGCTTCGCAACAAGAGAAGCCACTGCAATGAGAAGCCCGCGCACCGCAATGAAGAGTAGCCCCTGCTCGCCACAACTAGAGAAAATCTGCGCACAGCAATGGAGACCCAACGCAGCCAAAAGTAAATTAAATAAATAAATTTATTAAAAAAAAAAAAAGTGTAAAATATTTTTAAACAGTTCTTAATCAGAAGAGCATTTCTCAAAGCACGTATGCTCTGGCTCTGAGGCCCAACTGCAAAGATTCTCATTTAGTAGGGTGGGAACTAGAAACCTATATCTTGAACAACTTTTTTACTCTAAAAACCACTGAGCTAGTGTAAAAAAGAAATCTATCACCAAAACCTATCAAAAGTTAAAACAGTATAGAGAAAAATACCATCATATTCATTCATAGGTAAATACTATGTGCCAGGTATGGTTCTAGGAACTGGGAATAGGGCAGTAAACAAAAAGGTGTATATTCTAGGAGCAGTAGAGACACAAACAATGTATGTAATATATGTAGTGTTTTGCATATAATTAGATGGTTATATGAAGAAAAATATAGTAGGGAAGGAATAAAAGGAATGGGACTAGAAAGAAGGTAATATTTCTGCAAATATTTGAAGGAAGAGAGGGAGCAAACCATAAAGATATTTGGGAAAAGTGTTTCAGGCAGAGAGAACTGATGCAAAGGCCCCGAGACACGCGACTGTCCATATATTTATTCAAGGAACATCAAGGAGGACAGTAGAGCTGGAGCAGAGTGAGTGAAGATATGAGATTAGAAAGGTAATTAGGGAACTAAATTGTATAGCATCTCACGGGCCTCTGAAGGACTTTGGCTTTTATTCCTAGTGAGATGGTAAGCTACATGATTAGAAGAATAAATATGTAAAGAATCATTTACATATATACATGCAAACATATGATATATATTATATATGAAATTCTGAAAAGCAATGAAATTTGTCTAAGTAATTAATAACGAAAATAAAAATGTCAAGTGGTGTCTGTGAACCAGTTGGCTAAATAAATCTAGACAATACCTAATATGGTACCTAGGGTAAGTGTTTAATATTTGTGGAATAAAAGGACAGTGGATTAATACTGAAAAGAAAAATGAGGATTTTTCAAATTCTTGTAAAGTCAGAGGCAATGTATTAAGAATATAACAATTATCCTAAGATGTGGTCTCCTATCAAATATTTCAAGGCAGTCATAGATATCAAGTAGATTTTCCCATTTCCTTTTATATAGGCAAGAAGAGACTAAATAAAAAGCCTTTCAGAGTTACTCTGAAACTTTTCATCTTTTGTTTGAAAGTGTCAAAGACATATTTTTTAACAGTCCATATTTTAAGCTTAGCTTAAGCTTTCCTGGGTTTTAGTTTTAAAAATTCATTTATCATGATTCACACTCAAACTAGCTCTATTTTATTTTTATTAGTTTAAAAAATTTATATTTTCAACCCAAAGTCTGTTTTTTTCCCCAAAGCCTAAAGTCCAGAGCTTTGACTGTCAATTAAGAATTTTGAAAGTGACACAGCTACTTCTGACAGCTAGAGAAAGTGAATGTATTTTCTTCTCCCCATTGTCACCAATGTAGCTTCTAAATAAGCCAATCTATTCTTTCTGGTTGTCAGACAGCCTTAGTTTTTAAATTATTTTGGTGATAAATAATGCCAAGAACAGCAAAACTGTTCTTTAATATCAGTCCTTCTTTTGCCTGATAACAGAATTTTACAGAAGCATTAATTTTCTGATCAACTGAAAAATGGACAGCTAGTTCCTTCAACTACTGTAATAGGACTTTCTACAGGAATGAAATGAACTTCTGTTGTTATAGAAGAGCAAATATTGTGTTGTACTTTTTTGCATACCATGTAATGATTTCTTAGAAAAAATACACATTCTCAAGTCATAATATTAAAAGCATTACCTTACATGGCCAAGTGACTTATGCTCTTTTCTATGAACGAAACTATTGACAGGTGAAATTCAGAATAAAAATACACAAAAAACCATTTGTGTTAGCATACAGGAAATTAAGCTAAAGCCATACGATTTACTAAGTGAATAGTCCACTTTCATTCCTCTATCTGATACATCCAAGATTTGCAAAGATTACGTAAAGCAAAAAATTTAAATAAATCTATACTAAACTATGTTAATTTGAAGTGTGAGGTCAGTTTTAATTAGAAAGATTCGACTTCTGCTTACTCTTTATCAGGGCATTCATTAAACACAGAAAAGAAGTAAGAGAGTAGAAAACTTGGTCACTCGGTTTAGCAGTTTTCTCAGATTGAAAAAATAACAATGAAACCTCCAGGGTTAAGAATTTCAGAGGAGGCTGCTAGACAGAGAAGACAGACCAAATTAGCTTACCACTTGAACCATTTTGAGATATCTGGCATATCTTGGATCCTTGGCTACAGTTAAGATATTTTCTGGTGTTACTTCACTTTCCTGTGGTCCAGAGTCTTGTAAACTGTTCGGCTGTAGAGAGTATTGCATATAAAACTTTAGACAATTCACAAAAGGGGTCCGTCATGTTACTTAAAAGGGATGTTTCTTTTTATAATTCTAAAGCAATCAATATCAGAAAAAAATCATATTTCTAAATTTACCAATAATTTAATTATGGGATATATGTTTCCAAATATTTACAAATACTTAAATATGATTTCAGAGGAAGTTACACTTAATATCAACACTATATTGTTCTGTAAAGATGTAAATACATTCATGGCATTAAAAAATTAGAATTCTGCTTTACTTGTCCCAAGTGCTGATAAAAAACATGAATTATTGATGGACCTATTATTTTAATACAACTTTTAATAAAGCTAATAAAGCTATTTGATTTGTCAATTGTTCAACTGTAGCAGACAGAAAATTGATTTTCTGGGTATCTATACCGTCTACACAGTTATATTCCTCATTCACTGAATAATCTTGTTCTAAGTGGATATGGCTATTCTAACATCTTTAAAGGCAATGCCTGGAGAACTTGTGGAAGAGAAACCCATTTCTCAGACAAAATTATGTTTTTATATATTTCAGCTACTGATGAAATTATTAACATTATAAAAACTACTACTTATAATGAAGAATACTGGGGAATGGTCTTTATGGACAAAAATGTTTTTATCATATAGGCAGTTCTCAACTTTGCGTGGTACAATGTTAACTGAAACTTGTCCATATTGGAACCCTATCTTCACTTTAGTGCAAAGCTATGACTGTCTATATACAGTTCTTGATTTTTCTATCAACCTAAACATTTAGAGTAAGTCTAGTTAGTGAATTCTGACTCACTATCTGTATGTTAGCATTAAGAGTAAGTTCCTTAACTGAATAAAATCAATTTTATGTCTACCTATCTATGCTGAAATGTAAATAAATCAAAAAAACTTTAAGTATTCATAGTTTTTAGAATATGAATTATATGTTAAGGTTTTTCCTCAGATAATTCAAATATAAATTAAATCTCTTTTAAATGCTGAAGCAAATAAAACATCCAAAAATTCTTTAGGTTACTCCTGTTATATGACAGTGTCAAGTATACAAAAGTGTGCACGCACGTGTGTATGTGTGTGTATATATATGTATATATACACATTCATCTGTAAAATACATAATTACAAACTGTCCAAAACATTTAATTAAATAAAAAATTCAAACAAGACCCAAGTATGCTTTTAAAAAAATAGGAACAATAAACTCATAGAGTAGCACAATGGAGCAAATGATAATTACATATAAGACCAATGGATTTTAAAACTCAGCCTTTAACTTTGGCCTAATAACTAAGACCTCAACAAGGTTTAATTATATCAGGTCTTACACCTTTGTTATTTGAATGACTCAAATCCTCTCTCATATTTCTCAACTGTCCTTCATTTTATTCTCAAATTAATCTCAATCTGCACAATTGGATGTTCTATTGTAATGATAAGATCTGAACCATGAAATTAAAGTTGCAGAAAAATCAGCATGCAAACCTTGGGTCTTTGACTCATATATATCAATAGATTGGAGATTGTAATGAATGGATGATTAAAAAAAAAGTTCACCATTATCCTTTATCTGATAAGTGAGTTGACTGTAATGTCAATGGAAATTCTGTGTTAAGCAATACTTCAGTCCATTTCAAAATATTTTACATAAAATATACCAACTAAAAACAATGGAGAAGAAATTAAAAAGTTGATTTCAATATTAAGAACATGCTGAACATGCTGATTTTATTAATCCAATCAAGACACAATTTTAGGACATTTTTAAAACTTAGGAAGCCAACAACACTTCATAAATTCTCCAAATGAATTAATATACTATTTTTAAATAAAACTGCCAGAATATCAGGTCATTCTGAATTTTAGATAATTCAGTTGTGATTACTCATAATCAATTTTTTGAGACCTTAAATAGGCAAGACCAACACAGCTGCCTAAGTTTTAAAATACATATTATAGATGGCATGCACAATAACACCTGGAAAAATTAATATTAAAAGTTAGATACCATTTTAGAAATTTATAGAAACATATGACAGTTAGTATCCTCCAAAGAATAATCACTAGGTAGGGTGGAAACATTTAATATTTTTTACACATGCCTTGTTCTAGAGAAAGAATGGTCCATCTTTAACTGAAAAAACCTTGTGAAGTTAAACTCCTCTAAACATCTGGATTTACTCTTGTATGTTATATATATTCCAGTGGCCATCATAATGGAATTTGTTATATTAAGTGGATGTTAAATTTTCTAATATCTAATTATTAAGTAAATGGTCATCTAATTCAATCCCCAAACACATAGTATCTCTAAATATATGGCTCATCCCACAGGGCCTTGCACCACATGTACTCAATATGTTTAACAAGTTCAACACAGGTGCTGGAGACAATGCAATGTAGCATATAAGAGCTAGGATTCTTGACACCAGATTGCCTGGGTTAAAACTCCAGCTCTTACAGTTTGACCTTCAGCAAGTTACTTAACCTCTGTGTACCTCATTTGACGTATCTGTAGACATAGGGCTGTTGTGAGAATTGACTTAATTTATAAAAAGCACTTAGCACACCTCACACAGTAAAAACCTTTACATGTTTAGTTATTATCATCATGGTCAACACCATCATGATCTAAAAAATATCCCGTGAAAAGTACCTCCAGGTACAAATGCAGAATTCCATATAGATAGGAAGTCTGCTTGTTTGGTACTACTTGTTAGACCACCATTTTAGTGATTATTTTATTTTGGATTTTAATACCTCACTGAGATACACTAGAGATTATCTGTTCTTAAACAATAAAGAATTTTTATTTCTTGAAATAAAAAGTCATATAAAATTTAAATTTATACAGAGCATAAATGAACATTAAGACATTAAGAAACGAACACAAAGCATGGGTCTTATTAGGATGTTGATTTAAACAAATCAACTCCCAAAACACACTTTTTAAGACAACTGGTATTTCTTAGATCAGGATCTCTCAAATTTCAAGTCTACAAATCACATAGGAATCTTGTTAAAATGCAGATTCTGATTCCTTAAGTGTGGGGTAGAACCTGAAATCCCACATTTCTAACAGGCCCTCAGGTGATTCTGAGGCTGCTGGCCCATGGAGCAGACTTCAGGCAACAAGGAGTTAGATATTACCAGGGAATTATTGTTAATTATATTGTATATGATAAAGGCATTGTGGTTACACAAGAAAATTTCAGAACTTTTCACAAGGAATTATATAGGGGTGAAATAACATGATGCCTGGAATTCACTTCAGTAAGTGACAAAAAAAGATGAAGCATTTGCAACAAAATTTTAACTGGTGAATCCAGGTAATGGGCATTTGGGTATTCATTGTACTATTCTATTTTTGTTCACGTTTGAAAGTTTTTATAATAAAACATTTAAAAGATACATTTCTTATAAGAACTAAGAAAAAAACTTCCACAGTGAACTTGAAGAAAACAATTATATTCAAGATTTTTCCTGGTTCTGTATAGGTTTTCTTTTTTTTATAGGCAAGAAAAATATTAACTTCAGGAAGCCCTTCAAAATAACAAACGAAAAGCTAATAACTTTATTTCAAACTTCATTTTCTATCTTATGGTTTAAAATATTACTATTCAAAGTATTACATTTTTATTTAACTTCTTTCTTCAAACCTGCTGATTAGGTCTATTTGGTTCAACCAAGATATCTGCTCATGTTTCCCGGAACTTAAATACTTACCTGTGATTGCTCTGAAGTGGTTTCAGAATGTGTTTCATTTGTGATCCTAGTGACACTTACAGGAGATACTTCAAATGTGACATCATCTAGCCCTGGGATAGATGACAACTGAGAAAAGAAAATTAATGTTGGTATATGAGGATAATATTAGGTTCTTAAACACTAAGTTTCTAAGTGTGTGTGTGTGTGTGTGTGTGTGTGTGTTTTAAATAGCTGTCTTAAGTTTTTAAGCCTATAGAAATAGGTTTATAAAATCTCATCTTTGGTTGAAATTCTCCATGCCATAAACTACTTAAAAGTGAAAGGCATTCACAAAATATTTTTGAAGAATTTCTCACCTTTAGCATATCACCATTCTTTCTCAGGAATTATTTTTAAAATCTAAGGAATCCTAGTGTAAGGAATGAGAGCATGGGATTTGGAGTCAGATTGCCTAGGTCTAAGTCACAAAATATGTGACCTTGTGTAAATCGTCCTAGGCCTCAATTTTCTTACCTGTAAAGTGGGGATAAGAAAACCTAGCTCACAAAGTTGTAAAAAGATTTTTATTAAACATATTTTGTTACCCCTCCCCTCAAAATGTGCTTTGTAGCACATTTAAGTTTGAATAATCTGGGAAATGAGAAAACTCTTGCCACATTTTAATGTATGATATAGCTTATTCCTTTTTTTTTCTTTAGTAACATCACTGAATGTTACTAAAATGCATTATTTTTCATACACAAAAAATGAGCATGTTGTCAGTGGTTAAGCATTTCAGGTTGGATTTGCAAGATCCATGCAAACCCTCTTTTCTGATTTCATCCTGATATCAATGATATACATTTGTCAAATGTTTGGCTAACTTTGAGGATTAACTCTACGGCCATGGAAAAAATTAAGGTTAATCTGTCCATATGGCAACTTAACTTGTGACCCTGAACTCTAACTTAAGAATTCCACAAACATTAAAATAATACACATATTCATTATAAAGAATAATGAAAAACCAATGGTAATAAGACCTGAAGAAGCAATATTCATTGAGAACTGTTGACTGATGACAGTATTTAGCACAGTGGCTATGGCCCAAATAGTTTCAAGTGGGTATGGCTACTAAGAGACTATCTTGAACATGTTCAAGGCCAAGTATCCTAAATTACAATCTAAAGAAATGTTCTGAGGGAAATACAGTGGCTGAAGTCCACAGGAAGATGCAGAAAGTACAAGCTAGACATTCTGATCCTTATGTTAAAAGATATTAGTCATTTCACTTCCTTATAAACATTCAATACGTATTTTTTCAGATCAAACTTTTAGATAAAAGGACAAAGTCACATATGTATAGCTGATTCACTTTGTTATAAAGCAGAAACTAACACACCATTGTAAAGCAATTATACTCCAATAAAGATGTTAAAGAAAAAAAAGGATAAAGTCACAAAAATATACTAGCATCTCCATTATTTTATATAGAAAAGGACACAAAACCTGCAAGCTTCAAATCAAACAACGCTTCTATTTTTGCTGTTATAAGATAAAAAGTTATCTTTTGTAATTTCTGACATCAAAATTAGTATTCTTTAGCACTTAATATATTTACAAATGGAAAATAGGTGATATTTTCTCCAAATTTTGCTCTGGAGACATGTAAAGTTTTACATAATTTTTCCTGTGTTATCAATGATTACTATTAAGATAATTGTGAGTTTTCCATCAAATGAAGTAAACTATGTAACAGTTCAATTTGTTAACACGTTACTCATTATGCTTTTGATTCAAATAATGAAAGAAACCTTGACCCATGTGTACATTTAAACAGACTCGGTTAGTGGTTCATAATGAAGATCATTTCCTTTGCAATTATAATAAATTAAACAAAAGAAAACACTGCACCACTTCATGGATGCAGGAGCTAAATTGAATTCATCTCTAAACGCAATTAAAGTTAAGTGTGACTGAGAAAGCTGGTATATGTACAGCAAAGTTTATCCTATAAATTATTCAGAAATACAAACCTTTGCATCTAAAATATTGAGAGTTGTTTCAATTTGCTGGATACGAAGAGAAAGGTCTGCCAGTTTCTGGAAAAGAAAGATTAGAAACAAAAGAATGAAGTCCAAAGGAAAAAAAAAAAAGAATAAAGTCTGATTAAAAATAAACCGTTAACAAGGATAACCAACGGCAGATTTGAAAATAATAAAAACTATGGTTTAAATATTTGTGATTTTCTAACATACTACTCTCTTATTTATATGAGTAAGAATGGGAACTCAAGTATTCTATTAACTTCATTAGCATGCTTCATGGTTATTTTATAAAGCTGTATTCACAGAAAAGAAAAAGTTACATTTTCAGCCTTATCAAACTCATTATCAGAGCCATAATCAATCACTGGGACCAGAATGTAAACTCCTCTGAGGACAAAGATTTTTATTCACTGTTATACCCCTAGTGCCAGAACAGTACTGGACACTTAACAGAAGCCTAATAATTATTTGTTGTTGAAAGAAGGAATTCTTCACAGAACACAAGAATAAAAATTAGCCCAAAACAGAATGGAACAGTATCTGCCTTTATAAATTACTTAAACACATAAATATATACAATTAGTCCCAAATACAAACTTTTCAAGTTTGAAAAGTAAAAAAGGATGAAACTGTAAGATGAGTAGTTAATGTCGGAAAGAATTAAAACAAAGAGAAAAAATAAGAAAGAATACTAAAAAAGCAAAAGGAATCAACCTACCATCAAAATCTAAGATAAACCAGAACCAAGAACTTACCATGCTCTAGTTATTCTGTACAATTAAATTAGCCATATATATACTCCCACACAAATAAAAGTAACATCATAAAATATGTCCATAAGAACATTTATTTAAAACTCCCTCATCCCAAACATTATTAGTGACACAGCCTACAAGCAGTTGGCCAGTTTACTAGTTGGCAGATGTGCAGCATTCTGATTGCTTTCTGGGATATTATCAAGATCTTGACTAACTCATAAGCAGAATTTTAACACCCCGAGAAATGATCATTTTGCCCATATTTAGAGGGGGAGAAAACTGAAAGCAACCATAGAGTAGTTAGTACTTCTTCACAAGACACTTATTTTTTAGATGAGCATTCTTGATATCTACAAAGATATAATTTAAAAATAAAACATTAGAATCTAGTTTTAATGGCATCTGAAGTTAAGTTTAACCTTGATTTCTAGGATTTGTTTACATAAGGCTTTGATACAAATATAAACACAGGCTTATAAAACATCATATGGATAAATTACTCTGCAAATTATACATGTTTTCCTGAAAATCACGGAAATTAAATTTTGACAAATCATTTAATTCACTGCAGAAGCTTAGTAACTGCAGAAATCCCACAGCAAGTTAATTTGTAAAGTGAATGATAATTTCTAACTTATTTTAAAATGCATACATTGTTTTGATTAAAATAAGTGAACACAGAAAAAGAAAAAATGAAATAAAAATTCATTTTTGTTTTAATATATTTATATAAATATGTACTTTTAAGCAATAATCATCACTGTAAACATTTGAGCATTACCTTAGTATGCTACACTGTATATGCAAGTATCATTTGAAATCTCACACCAAGTCTATGAAGTAGAAACTATTATGATGCCAATTTTTTTTGATGTGGACCATTTAAAAAAAAAATAAATTTATTTATTTATTTCATTTTTGGCTGTGTTGGGTCTTCGTTGCTGAGCGGGGGCTATTCTTCGTAGCGGTGCTTAGGCTTCTCACTGTGGTGGCTTTTCTTGTTACGGAGCACGGACTCTAGGCACGCGGGCTTCAGTAGTTGCAGCATGAAGGCTCAGTGGTTGTGGCTTGTGGGCTCTAGAGCGCAGCCTTGGTAGTTGTGGCGCACGGGCTTAGTTGCTCAGCGGCATGTGGGATATTCCCGGACCGGGGCTCAAACCCGTTTCCCCTGCATTGGCAGGCAGATTCTTAACCACTGCGCCACCAGGGAAGTCCCTGTGAACCACTTTTTAAAGTCTTTATTGAACTTGTTACAATATCGCTTCTGTTTTATGTTTTTTGGCTGTGAGGCATTAGGGATCTTAGCCCCCCGACTAAGGATTGAAACTGCACCCCTGCATTGGAAGGCAAAGTCTTAACCACTGGACCTCCAGGGAAGTCCCTATGATGCCAATTTTATTTTTTAATTAATTAATTAATTTTTATTGGAGTATAATTTCTTTACAATGTTATGTTAGTTTCTGCTGTACAATAAAGTGACTCAGCTATATGTGTATATATATATATATATATATATATATATATATATATCTCCCCTCCTTCCCCCTCATCCCACCCGTCTAGGTCATCACAGAGCACCAGGCTGAGGTCCCTGTGATACACAGCAGGTTCTCACTAGCTATCTATTTTACACATAGTAGTGTATTTTTGTCAAAACTAATCTTCCAATTCATCCCACCCTCCCCTTCCCCCACCCGTGTCCACATATCTGTTCTCTACATCTGCATCTCTATTCCTGCCCTGCAAATAGGTTCATCTGTATCAGTTTTCTAGATTCCACATATATGTGTTAATATACGATATTTGTTTTTCTTTCTGACTTACTTCACTCTGTATGACAGACTCTAGGTCCATCCACATCTCTAAAAACCTAGTTTCATTCGTTTTTATGGCTGAGTAATGTTCCATTTTATATATGTACCACATCTCCTTTATCCATTCATCTGTCGATGGACATTTAGGTTGTTTCCATGTCCTGGCTATTGTAAATAGTGCTGCAATGAACACTGGGGTACAAGTGACTTTTTGAATCATGGTTTTCTCAGGGTATATGCCCAGTAGTGGGATTGCTGGGTCGTATGGTAGTTCTATTTTGTTTTTTAAGGAACCTCCATACTGTTCTCCATAGTGGCTGTATCAATTTACATTCCCACCAACAGTGCAGGAGGGTTCCCTTTTCTCCACACCCTCTCCAGCATTTATTGTTTGTAGATTTTTTTGACGATGGCCATTCTGACCAGTATGAGGTGATACCTCACTGTAGTTCTGATTTGCATTTCTCTTTTAAAGATGAGAAAACTGAGTCTTTATACAAGTAAAATAATCTGAACTCAAACACTCGAACTCCAGATACTAAATATTTTTGAAAGTGTTTCAGCTTGTTAAAGCATGATGCCATAGACTCTGGGTGTTGATGTGTCAATGCAGACTGTAACAAACTGAGTGTAATAAATGTACCATGCTGGTGGGGCATGCTGATAATGGGGAATGTTGTGCACAAGGGTTGGGAGTGTGAGTCAAGGAATAAATGGGAACTCTATACTTTCTGCTCAATTTTGCTGTGAACCTAAAATTGCTCTAAAAAATAAAGTTTAATTTTTTTAAAAAGATGGAAAATTCCTGAGTATTGCATAGATATAATTTTTGTTATTCAAAGCTAATAAATGATCAACCTGCTTCTCACTAAAACTAAGATGCTATTGTGCTGAATACTGGGAATCAAATTTTTCTGATCAAATTTCCTAAAATAGATGCTGTTTATCTGGAATTATTTAAAAAGATAGGTATTAAAATTTTTTTCAGGATTAGATCATAAATTGTCTTTAAATGGATACTCAAATGTTCACACAAGATAGGCTAAGGATTGAAATACTAGTCTTGGAAAATAAGGGAATAAGGATGAAAATGTTTATTCAGAAAACTACTTCTTGATAAGGAAGATTAAAGAGGCTTGGGAAAAAAAAAGTTATACTTTCCACAGCAGTAATTTCCAATTTTTTCTGGATGCAAATTCATCTGGTATGTCAATCTTTTGCTTTGGCACTCATTTTACCTACTTTCATCTACTATTATCAAAACCTCACCAAAATGAAATGACCTGGTTTTTTAATAAAACAAGATTATATGAATGATTTATTCAAGCAAGACACTGATCTAAGCATCAATATATTTTAATTAGTTATAATTTATCTGAATATTCTTGATATCTAATCTAGAAACAACGGTAATTGTGAAGTCTAAAGAAATCTGAAACAACTGTAATTTAATTTAAAAAAATCTGTGCTTTCTATTGGTGAGAGTCATAGGCCCTAATACTACTGTGATTTCTGTTGACCAAATTTAAAGAAAATGTGAAATTTAAGTTAAAGGTAAAAAAATATATATACATGATTTTTTTCCCCCATCCAAGTTCATGTACCCCAAATTCAGAACAACTATGTAAATGATTTTCTGAAAATCAGATCAACAAAAGGCTTTTCCTCTTGGCTAGGGAAGATCTTTGCTGTGGATAAATCATGTTTTTTAAATTATCCATAAAGGTATTATCTATCTTCTCTAGAGCTGGTTTTTGAGAGTCTAAAATATTAAATATGCTACCTGTTATACAACTTAATGCTTTAATAAAGGATATATTACTATATCACGATTTTGAATTTTTAAGTATGTAATTGGTATCTTTTGTAATCCTACACATTTTATTTTATGCATTTAAAAACATTAATTTCATTTCACTAGACTGCCAAAGGGCCCATGGCACATTTAAGAACCTCTGCTTTTCAAAGATTATTCAGCATAATAAATGTTTTTGAGTCTGTTCCCATGTAATTATTGCTATAACACACATAAATATGTACTTTTTAGAAAGCCACTATCACTTGACAAAATACACCTGGCTTCATTTATGGGCTGCTGAAGCTCATTTCTAAGATGTTTATGTTTTCTGCATTTTCCTTCTAAACCCCTAGGCCACCATAAAGTAGGTTTCTCAACCTTGGCTCTATTGATGTTTTGGGCTGGATAATTCTTTGTTGTGAAGGACTATCCTGTACACTACAGGATGTTTGCAGAATCTCTGACCTCTACCCACTAAATGCCACAAAAACTCCCCAACTGTGACAAGTAAAAACATCTCTAGACATTGCCAAATGTCCCCTGGTTGAGAACTACTACTCTGAAGTGTAGATGACTATGGATATATTATAAGTAACATGATCAATAACAGTAACTGTCCCCACCTCTGAAAGTTTCAGCAGAGAAGAAACAGAAAGGTAACAATCTTTCCAATCCATTTAACCA